AGTAAAACTTGCCTCCTCCTGTTCTTCCTGAGGGAAAGCAACCTCCCAGGCATCGAGCTGGCCCTGGCACTTCTTTCATCATTCCACCTGAAGAAGACACCCAAGAGGCACCTGCCCCTTCTCCACAATCTTAGTACCATCTTGGTGCAAGAGCCCTTTTCTCCTGAGCTTTTAGCTCCTTTTTTTTTTTTTTTTTTTAATGAATGTGGCCTCCCTTCCATGGACTGTGACTTGGGAAAACAATTATGATTTTCCTCCAGCACTTGTGGAAAGTTAATATGCAGTCAATTGCTCTCCCACACAGCCCTAGAAAGCAGCACATTGTTTCCTGAAGAGGGCTTCTGTTTCAATCTTCTCTTTATACGTAGGCAGGGTGGAGAAAGGATGTTTTGCAGCCAAAATGCACAGTCCCTACGCTACAGCAAATTTCCACTTCACAGGCTTCATTCATTTAGGCCTTCAGTGAAGTGTGTAAGTTTAAAGAGGCTACGTCTAGGAGCCTTCTCATTACCGGTAATGTTTTCCTAGTAAGTAACTACCAAGTTAAAAGACTCGGGGGAAGGCCTGCTTGTAACATTGTGCACACTATATGAATGTTAGCTATAAACAGAAATAGGGAAGAAACATGGTGACAGCCTAAATGGCGTAACAGAGAGCCCTTTGGTGCTCCAAGCGGGGCTCCCATGCGCTGAGATGCTGGCGCATGGAGCAGCAGCGAGATTATAAAGTCCCTGCTCTGCTTGTTTAACCTACCACGAAGAAGCAAGCTTTGCTTCAAAGCTTTCCTGGAAAGAAAAATAAACCTGAAACCTAAGTGTGTATACAAACACTGTATAATAACCGTGGAGCTACGCGAAACAGGCTACACGAGCTATGCTAAGATAGACAAAAGCTTCCTGAAGATGAGTCCCACTTTGGATGGTGCTCATTGCAAGTCCATAAAATACAGTAGCTGATGATATATTTGGAGTGTGAAGTCTCAGCTCACTTGCAAACTTTGTATTCTTACTCCCTTTGCTGCTAGAACATAGTTCTAGGAGCTAGAGGTAAAAGGGGCCTATCAGTCCATCAGCATTTTTTTTTCCTAAGTTAATAAAAGTAATTCTAACTTTCTTACATGGCTTTGAAAGAAAAATTGAGCAAAAACTTTGCTCTCATCTCAGGTTAGGTAGCTGAAAATAGGGCTTTAATTATTTCTTACGTAAGACTACATAACAAGATGTATAAAACACAAATACAATTTCTTTCTTTAGAGACGTCTGCCTTTGTCTTCTAATGAGTCAGCATCATCTGACAGATCAATTTTCTGTGAGTGTAGGATGTGCATTTTGCACATCACGCTCTCCAAGGGCACCTATTGGAAACTTGGGCCACTACCGCGTGGAATTTCACACTGCGTAGATGGACTCGATGGCCTTCCAAGCGCAGACCTACATCACAAGATCTCATCAATAAAAATGAGGCTGACACCAGATACTTGAAATTTCCTGTCCTCCAGACCAGTCTTTTCAGAAAAGGAGAAAGACGTCAAGAACACGCTGAATACTTTCTTGTTCTTTGTGAAGCCATTAATATGCAGTGTTGAAAGGGACTACACAGGATCATTCAGGTCGGAAGAAACTTCAGAAGGTCTCGAGTCCAACCTCCTGCTCAAAGGTGGGTCAGCTATGAAGACAAACCAAGTTGCTCAGGGCTTCACCCAATCAGATTTTGAAAATTTCCATGGATTTACAGCTTTTCTGTTCTTCCTTGTAACTAGGCTGAACCTCTGCTTTCCATTTGCGCCTGTTGTCTCTCATCCTCCCCCCAGGCAGCACTGTGAAGAGCTCGACTCCATCCTCTCCATAACCTTGCGGTTGGGAACTGGCAGGGTGCTTTTAGGTCCTCCTGTAGCCAGCTCCTGTCGAGCCTCCAGAAGCCCTGGCTCCCATAGCCTCTACTCCCAGCCTAAGTGCTCCAGCCCTTAGGCATCTGGGTGGTCTTGGGCAGAGCTTGCTCCACTTCATCACCATGTATCCCCTAGGAGGCCCCAAACAGGACACAGTGTCCGGATGTGCTCTAAGCAGTGCTGAGCAGGAGGATAATCTCTTCCTTCAACCTACCGGCCCTGCTCCTGTCAACACAGCCTGAGAGGCTGTTGTTACGAGGACACAAAACTAATGACTAATGCACTTTCTCCATGCAATCTCTGATAAYGAGCACACTGCTGAGGTGCTCCTCTCCTCCCAGCACGGTTGTTTATGGTGAAGGGCGCTGGACCTGCACCAGCGGCTGCTGTTCACCAACCCCGATTCCACCACATTTCCAGCGGGCCKCACGGCTCTCAGCGTCGCGTGCTCTTACTCATTTGAAGGGCTTGCGACTSTTTTCTGTGGAACTTTCCATTACCCTCCCCGCTGTCTTCCTTCAGAGCACACTTTGTTCCTTGGGCATTACTCCTTTTCCCACATAAAAGGTTTTGGCACATGGTATCTTGCTCAATAGTTTGGTTTCCTTACCAAGACGCTCTGCCTCTCTTGCCTCAATAAAAGCTTTATTTTACAGCTCTCCATATAACCTGATGCTTATGTTAGCAGCTGCTACATTGGGATTTAGGGGTCTTTTCTGTTTTGCTGTGTTAAAAACAGTTAGGAGTCAGCCATGACRTTTTGAGGAAGACACAGTACCTCCTTCCAGCAGCCTTTGGCTTATTGGATTTGCACCTGCTCCTCCATTCCCACCTCCTTTTCTAAAACTGAAAGCCAGGGTAGTGAAAGACACAGGCATGATGCTGCAAGCCCTGAAATTCGTGCATGAATATAACACTGTACTACTGTACCACCTCCCAAGGGGAAAAGACAAAAGGGTTTTGGCTTTCTTTTCTTTATTGCATCACTTGCTTTCACTGTATCACAAACTGCCTATTAAATTGGCAAAGTAGTGAGCAACCACAAGTGTGCAGTGCTGAGCTCACACCTCTGTCAAGATTTACTTCTGCACCTCATCAACTCTTATGCCAGGTCGCACTCTATATTAAAGTGGGCTGCTGGACTTAAATAAACAGCAAGTGTAAGAACACTTGTACGGTTAAGCAATACCGGGCAGCAGTAATTCATGAGTTTCCAGGTACCGAGAGACAAAAAGRTAAGAAATTAAAAGTGTAACATTACTGAAGATGTACACTGTTTCCCTAGTGGAAGTTCCCCAGTTAACAAAACACACTCGGGATGACGCAGGTGTTAAGCTGTACCTGGGAATTTATAATGATGAGTTAGTCCCTCTTCCAGCAATGTACAAGCTGCAAAGTAAAAGGTCTCAATTTCCAATTAAAGTCCAAAACAAAACCCAAGCTTTCCAAAGTTTTCTGTGTCCATCAGTTTTGAACAGAAAAAACTGTCATACACTGGATGCATTTTTTTTTCCCTTGGAAAGAACAAAACCCAAGACTTAYTTAAATGAAAATTTAGGTCTTGAAGACTTCCCAAGACATGGGGGTATTTACATAACTTTGTAAATCATCCCCCCTGACCCTTCTTTTAATAAAGGCCCCATTACAGAACTGGGGCCACGGTGCAGCCTGGTTACCAACCTAGCTGTTTTTCCTTCTGCGAAAGACAGCATGAGCACCTCACAACAGCAGACTAAATTTATATCTACTGAGATGTAGATTAATCACTATTAAATATTTAGATATTTTTGATTAAATACTTAGATGTTAGCATTTTTTACATGTAGGAACTGTATTTTTCACCCTCAAAACAGATYGTCTACAAGATATATGTTGTGCCATACCTTTTTTAGTAGGATAGTGTAGTAAGTGGCCAGATCCAAATCCTTAAGGAGCGAATTGCTTAAGACATATTTGAGTTGCACTTACCTGCCTCTGTGCAACAGTAAAAGTCATGTAACTTTCATGCTAATGACAGTATGTTCAATATATAAAAACAGGCAGTTTTGCTCAGGAAATGTGCGGATCTATTTTATGTGGAAATAAACACAGCCCTACGATAATGCAAGACAGCTACCTCACAAATAGAGAAGATCAACTCCAAGTTCACATACCAAAGCCCAAAGCATTTGGTTCATTTTTCATATAGAAGAGGCCAGTACTTCTACAGCCCTAAAGTGAGGGGCACAAATTTATTCAGTATGAAGAAAAACAAAAAAGCTCTCACATTGGAAACTACACCTTGTGTGACTTATGATCACAACATGTAGGTAAGCAGCTACTTACACGAGAACAGATACTAAAAGCAACTGCTTACCCTGAAAAGTGATACCTTTTAATAAATTATTTTCAGTTTTTTCCTTGCCAGTTGCTCTCCCAGATACTTTTTGGGTCTTCTCYGACTCCTCTAATGCTTCCTCAGTAGTGTGTGCTCTAGAGATACCCACCATTTGCCATGAGAATGCAAAACAGCAGAAGCATGGAAACAGCAGGAGCAAGTGACAGTAAGTGTGTCAGCAGCAATAACGGAGTCAAAAAACCACTTGTGAGTTGTAAACAGTAAGAAATAGCAAGAAATTGTGCAGGTATCTGCACAATTCACTTTCTCAGAAAGATGCCCCTAGCATCTGCTTACTCTGCAAGCTCTGGACATTTCTTACCCCTGACAGAGTAAGTGAAGTGATAAGATGGTCATGCAGAAATACAAACTGTTTAAGTAACATTGCTGTTAATAAAATAGGTGACCAGCACTGTGCTCACTTCAGATTGTCTAGCATTTTCTAGCAGTGTTTCCATGCTTAAGCTTCCAAAAAAAAAAAAAAGGCTTGAAAATAAAGATGAGTGAATTACACTACATCCTTAAAAATATTATAAATTATGTATTGTGAAGCTGACAAACCAGAATAAAGCCAAACATGCTTATGAGCAAAAAAAAAAGAATATTTTAAGGCAGGGAAATATACATTAAGACGTGTAATTCGATCACAGAAACACGTATTCTGCAATGCAAGTGGCTCTCACTCCAAAGCTGGAGCTCGAGCTTTGACAAGACGTGAGCAGCGAGGAGCCAACGCACTCCAGCGTCCTGCAGGAGGCAGAAGTCCCGAGGGGACAGCGTTTGCAAGCTCCGTTTGGCGGCCGRGCGCTGCCCCCTGGCGCTAGGAGTCTGGAAGGGGCTGGCTCTGCGTCCCGCTCCGCGTCTTCAGCTGGGACTGCGCGATGTCGGCGAGCGCGCTCTGGATCTTCTCCAGCAGCATATCCCCGCGGAAAACCACCTCCTCCAGGCGCGCCGCCGCCTCGTGGTTCTCCTCCTCCAAGCGGCTCAGGCTAGCAGCCTTCAAGGGAAAAGGGGACATTCAAACATAATGCAAAATTGCCTTTGCTACCCAGTGAAGTTGAGGCATTCCCCACAGGAAAGATCTTCTCTTTGGCCCCTGAACTAGAAGCTGCTGGTTGAGAGCAACTCAGTCTAGGTTGCAGTCTAAAACAGAGCATATTTGTGCAAGGAGTAAACATCAAAACTGAATGCAGATGTTCGCTTCTTTCAGATGAAAACTTTTAGCTTGGTACAGCTTTCCTGAGGAGAGAACACTGAACCCCCCCCAACTCCCTTACAGAAAGAGGGTAAGATACAAACGGGACTTATATAAATCTTCCTACATGCATCTGGCATTAAACTGTCTTATTTAACCTTTTTTTTTTTTTTTTTCTTTTCATATCTTGTTTCAGAACCAGTTTTTAAGCTAGGCGACTTCTGATTTTGAAAGAAAACATCTGAGCTTCAAAATTCAGATACATCATTTACCATTTTTAAAAACGCTCAAGTATATTTAATTCAATGGCAAATCAAAAAAGACAAAATGCAGAACTGTTTCAAGTTGATGAGGCTTTTAAAAGTCATCTCTGTTTACATACAGGCTTTTTACAATTTGTGCTTGAACTGGCAAATTCTAACATAATCATCTGCTGTTTTGCAAGGCTAATGTCTTTGCTGAAAATTATTTAATAAATAGAGGAAGGATGACAACAAAGGTCTTTCTGACACAGAGAACCACGTTCTGAGGAGGAAGAAGAGGAAGACAATAAGGGTAGAAGTATAGAATATATACTGCCAATCTGAGGATGAGAGTAGAAGAGGGACTGAGAAACTATGGCAGCTCCTCTTACCATCTATGACAAACCTCAGAGTTGAAACATGCAGCAAAATAGTGTTAGTGCCCAAATACAGTTTAACTAGCCACATCTCTAGCCTCTTTTCAGCAAATCCTGTATTGAATAGAGCATTTCAAGCATCTCTACAATAACCTTTAGAACTAAAGTGAAAATTAGAATATTAAATTAGAAAATTAAATTAGAATATGAGAATTATGAAAAGCAGGTTGAATTATATGTGGATTGAAAGCCAAGCAAAAACATGCCCCTCTCAGACAGCCAAATCCGCTTTATGGACCACTCTTGTTTCCTTGCATCAGTGACCACTATGACCAAAACCAGTATAGCATAAGAGAAGCCTATAATTTTCCTGCAACAAGAAAACTACCTTCAGCTTCTAAATGCAGAGCTACACAGTATTACGCTGGTGATAACATATGCAATTAGTAGGGACAGGAATTTTTGTGCCTAGGAAAGTTTCCATATTTAACCTCCTGTGTTTGAGGCCAAAAGCAATGTAGCTGCCAAGCTATTTGTGCCCGACGCAGCAGGCATCTCTAAAGCCTTTACTAAAGTGCTCTCCAGTACTCACAGATTAGCAATCTTCAAACGATCTTAAAAACAGCTCTACTGTTCCCAGAGGAACAGAACTCTCTGCATCTTCATTGCATACAAGAAACAAAATACATTTTGTAAATTTAGAAGGTAAACGACTGAAAATCCTGACAACTCCAAAAGAATAAAAAGGATGCTCTTTAATGGACAAGATCTGTAGAAAGAACAGCTAAGTRCAATGACACCCTTAAAATGGGGTCAAAATGGGTCAAAAAGCGTTCTTCAGAAGTGAGAAAAAGTTTAGTGTTGCCAAAAGCGTCACTGTCTGTTTACAGCAGTTTCATTCTTCTGAGGCAAAGAATGAAGTTTGTGATACTGCCCACAGCTTCCGATAGCTGCCTGGCCTGCGACTGCTTTCTCTTCCTAAGCACTTCCAAGAGCAAGACTGAGACTTCCCAGTGACTGCCTCTGGTCTGAAGAAGGGAGGAGCAAGGAACAAAAACACCAAGTCCCGCTGGCTAGTCCAAGGAAGGACATCCTACTAGTGAAAAGGAACTATTTTCTGACATAGCTGGAGAATTTAATGCATACTGCAAAGCCTTCAATAACCAGTAACCCTGTAGGAAAAGGTTTCAGTAGAACATTGGCTCTGCAGATACAAGATAAAACACACAATCAGCAGGAGACAATGAAAGGCTATTGAAGAGAAAAAGCCAATGCATCAGTGCCACTGTATCAGTATCTGAACAGCTGGAAAAATCACGGAGCAGTTTCCATTAATGTCATGTTATCATAAAAGCAGAATTTTTGAAACACTGATGAGAAAAATATGTTCAAAATATTCTCACTGTGTGTAATTTATTTCATATCTAGATGCAGGAGGAATTCCAATGAGGCTATGAAGAATTCATAGGCTAATCCCATGAAAAATTCAGGCTTATRTTGAACTCATTTGTCAAGATTACGTGGCCTAAAGAGAAAGAAAATATGTTTAAAGAAAGCAACCAAGAAAGCTGTCTTCAGTTACACTTTCATAGWTTAATCAAGAATTCTCTTACCTGCAAAGCAGCTGTCGATTCCTCACTAGGTAAGGAATCTATCAGAACATCAATATCCTTTGCAGTTCTTGCTATCAATGCTGCAAACAGTTGGGCGTATTCTTAAAAAAATAAAATAAATAAAAATCAGGCAACTCAATACATTATTAAAAAAAGCACAATTCTGCATATGAAGTGAAGAATATTCAAAAGACCTGAAGCCTTCCAAGTGTGAGATTCTTCCTTACACTGCTCTTTGTTTAAATGAGAAAACAATTACAACTCCATTATTGTTACCACTTAAGAAATTACTAGTAAAGTTATTAAGCGCTCTAGTCCTAGCTGTCAACTCATTTAACCTTTCAGTCCTTGACTTGAAATCTTCCATTGTGGATAAGAACATTAGAAGTTATAGGAAAATAGAAATAGAGATTCAAATGTAATTTAATAAAATAATAAAATGTAATAAAATTTAAATGAGGTCAAGCAACTGACCATTAAAGATCACAGAATGGTTGAGGTTGGAAAGGATCGCTAGAGATCATCTAGTCCAACCCTCCTGCTCCAGCAGGGAAACCCAGAGCACGGGGCGGCATCCAGGCGGGTTTGGAAGATCTCCAGAGAAGGAGACTCCACAGCCTCCCTGGGCAGCCTGTGCCAGGGCTYGAGCACCTTCACAGGGAAGAAGCTCTTCCTCACATGGGAGATGGAACTGCCTCTATGTCAATTTATACCCATTATTCCTTGACCTGTCACTGGCCACCACCTTCAACAGTCTGGCCCTATCCTTTTTACATTCTCCCCTGAAGGTACTTATACATGTTGATCAGATCCCCTCTCAACCTTCTCTTCTCCAGGTTAAATAGGCCCAGTTCACTTAGTCTGTCCTCGTAGAAGAGATGCTCCAGCCCCTTAATCATCTTTGTTATCATCTTTGTTGCCCTCCGCTGGACCCTCTCCAGAAGCTCCACATGCCCCTACTCCTGGGGAGCCCAGAGCTGCCCCCAAGACTCCAGGTGCGGCCTCACCAGAGCTGAGYAGAGGGGCAGGATCCCCTCCCTTGACCTGCTGGCAACACTCCTCCTCATGCAGCCAGGATGCCATTGGCCTTCTTGGCCACGAGGGCACACTGCTCACTCATGGTTAACTTGGTGTCAACCAGGACTCCCAGGTCCCTCTCTGTGGAGCTGCTCTCCAGCAGGTCGACCCCTAATCTGTACTGRTGCCTGGGGTYATTCCTCCCCAGGTGCAGGACCCTGCACTTGTCCTTRTTGAACCTCATGAGGTTCCTCTCTGCCCAACTCWCCAGCCTGTCCAGGTCCCTCTGRATGRCAGCACAGCCCTCCGGAGTGTCGGCCACTCCACCCAGCTTGGTGTCATCTGCAAACTTGCTCAGGGTGCACTCTGTGCCCTCGTCCAGGTCATTGATGAACAAGTTGAACAGCACTGGGCCCAGCACTGGCCCCTGGGGGACACCACTGGCCACAGTGGTGTCCAACACTGGCCTCCAGCTGGACTCGGCCCCGTTTATCACCACCCTCTGAGCTCTGCCACCCAGTCAGTTCTCAATCTACCTCACTGTCCAGAGTGAGATGTTTTGAGGGGAAAAAAAGAGCCACAGGAAAAGTTAAATTGTCACTCAGAATGGGAAAAGATATGGGTTTGTAACAGATCTTAATTTAGCTACAAAAACATAAGTGCATACAGTTCTTTGAAAGGGGTACTATAAGGCATGGGAATCTTTAATCACCTTGAGTTTGACCTGCAGGTTCCTAACTATAGCTGAAATATTGAGACAGACCTCCTTATAATTCAAGGTCTTAGACATTTTACACGGCTTACATCCAATGATCTTTCATGCAGCAAGACAAAATATTTTGTTGTGGTAAAATATAGCAGAGACTGACGTTCTCAAAGGTAGACTTGACTTTAAAGCAAACATACCGGTTAAGGCTTGCTCAGTGTCACCACATATATACCCTCAGTCTGTTAGTAAGTGTTCTAYTACACACAAAATTTTCAGGTCTTTATACTAAGTCTTTAGATATTTGAAGACTTTGGTTTGGTCTAATCAGCATTACTGACTTGGCTGTAGAATTTTGCTGAATTCACTGTATTTGGAGTGTCAGGACAAGACGAAACAAAACAATGGTCACCCGTTTTAAGCCCTTAATAAGCCTCTGGGCTCCAAAGTCCTCACGTTGATGCAGGTGTGTGGGGCAGCAGCGAGTACCGGGAGGCAGCAAGCAAATCTGCCAGCTCCATCTCCAACCGATCCCTGGACCAGAGAGCCGTGGCGGTCAAGGGGAAAAGCACATCACTGTGCTGCCAGTAGCCAAACCCAATCTGATACAAGACACGTGCAAGATTTTCCCAGGAAAATACACATCGACCATGCAGGAAATGAGGGGCTGGCAGTGTACTTTAATCAGGMTACCCGTGCTCCCTCGAAGGCCGCCTCCAGGGGCACTCACCCTCGGTGGGGTTGGCGGGCTGGTCCTTGTTGATGGCCGTCTGGATGTTGCTGAAGGAGGCGGGCGGCCCGCACTGCTGCAGCACGCCGATCGCGTTGCAGAACTGGTCGGCGAGCTGCGGGCACCAAGGACACGTTCAGCCCAGCCGAAAAACGGGCGCCGCGGGCTCCGCTCCCAGCCCGTGCGCCCCCCCCTCCCTCCGCGCCCCCCCG